TAGAAGTGTTTTTTTTTTTCTTATAAAAACTAATTTAACAAATTAAAAAGCCTAGGTTGCCTCCTAGTAGCGCTTACTTTAACGTCTTTAGCTAGACATAAATGTCACCCCCAAGCAAAACGTTAGCGTAATTCTAATATTTTGAAGGACTTTAATCATTTAAATACACCGGCATGATTAAATCTACCATTTCCACATCTTTAGTTGGTAAATCCAAATAGGGTTTCAAACCGTGGCCATTAAGTTGAAAAATTTCACCATATTTTGTATTTTCTAATTCTATAGTGCCACATTGTAAAATTTTTGTAATTATAAAAGGTCCGGCCCAACTTGTCTTAAGCTTTCCCGAGTGCAAATGTAGACGACTTCTATATAATAACACTTTTTGACCTATATGAAATTATTTTCTTAGAATTTTTGCGTCATGTACTATTTTAGTTTTAACTTTGTAATCTTTTGCAAGATCATAAGCGTCACTTCGAATTTCATCTAATTCATTAAGTGTCAATTTTCTATTTTCACCGGCTTCGTCTATATTAAAATTTAATTTCTTAATGGCCCAATAAGCTTTGTGTTCCACTTCAACGGGTAAGTGACAAGGTTTGCCATAGACAAGTCTATAAGGTGACATGCCAATGGGGGTTTTAAAAGAGGTTCGGTAGGCCCATAGAGATTCTAAAATACGGTCACTCCAATCACTTTTATCAGGGTTCACCGTTTTTTCTAAAATACATTTAATTTCTCTATTGGATACCTCAACTTGTCCCGAAGTTTGTGAATGATAAGGTGTGGGTATCCTATGTGTGATACCATATTTTTCATATAAATTTTCAAAAGACTTGTTACAAAAATGTGATCTTTGGTCATTAATAATGGCTTTAGGCACCCCAAACCTAGATAAAATATTTTTTCTTAAAAAATGTGTTACCACTTTTTTGTTATTTTTCGTAGTTGGGATAGCTTCAATCCATTTGGAAACATAGTCTACCACGACTAGAATGTATAGAAAACCTTTGGACGGAGGAAATAGTCCCATGAAATCAATACCCCAAACATTGAAAATGTCTACTACCAAGATGTATTTTTGTGGCATTTCGTTTTTTTTTTTAAATTTTTCCTAATTGTTGACACAAGTGGAAATTTTGGCAATAAATATTAGCGTCATGATACAACATTGGCCAATAAAATCCACTTTGTAAAACTTTGGCCGCCGTTTTGTTTGCACTAAAATGTCCACCACATGCATGGTCATGACAAAAGGTTAAATCTTATTAACCTTTGTTTAGGTTCCTTTTTCGATAGAAGATATTTAAGAGCGGCATGATCGGTGAATATAGTTATTTGGGAACCTATTAAATATTGTCTAAATTTTTCTAAGGCAAAAACAACGGCTAATATTTCTTTCTCGGTTGTTGTATAATTACGTTGAGCATTATTTAACGTTTAACTAGCATAATAAATTACACTAGGCACATTGTTTTTCCTTTGTCCTAAAACGGCACCAACGGCATAATCCGATGCATCACACATTAATTCAAACGGAAGAGACCAATCCGGAGGTTGGATTATGGGAGCGGAGGTCAAGGAGGTTTTTAATTGCTCAAAGGATGACACACATTCCTCATTGATTTCAAAAAGTGTATCTTTCGTTAAGAGATTAGTGAGCGGGCGGGCTATTTTGGAGAAATCCTTAATAAACCTACCATAAAAACAGGCATGACCAAGAAAAACTCTAATGTCTCTAATAGTTTTAGGAATTGGAAGGGAGGATACAACGGTAACTTAGCTTCATCAACTTTAATTCCTTTTGGTGTGATTACATGTTCATGGACTATTCCTTTAGTAACCATAAAACGACATTTTTCCCAATTCAAGACTAAATTCTTTTCTTCACATCGAATGAAAACTCTTTCAAGCTAAGATAGACATTGGTCAAATGACTCTCTATAAATAGAAAAATCATCCATAAACACTTCCATAAATCTTTCGACCATGTCACTATAGATGTGTAACATACACATTTGAAAAGTCGCGGGTGCATTACATAATTCAAAAGGCAATCTTTTATACGCAAATGTTCCAAAAGGGCAAGTGAAAGTTGGTTTTTTTTTGTCTTCGGGAGTTATAGAAATTTAATTATAACCCGAATAACCATCTAAGAAACAATAAAAAGAATGTCCTGCCAATCTCTCTAACATTTGATCCATAAAAGGTAAAGGAAAGTGATCTTTTCTAGTGACAAGATTTAGACGCCTATAGTCGATACACACTCTCCATTTAGTTGGTGTTCTTGTTGTGATTAATTAATTCTCTTCATCTTTCAAAACGGTGAAACCGGTTTTTTTAGGAACCACATGTATTGGACTAACACATTTACTATCGGAGATAGGATAGTATATTCCGACATCAAGTAACTTTAGAATTTCACCCCTTACTACATCTTGCATTATGGGATTTAGACGTCTTTGAGGTTCTCTTGAAGTTTTAACGTTATCTTCTAAGTATATATGATGAGAGCAACCCTCGGGGTCAATACCTTTTATGTCATCTAGGGACCACCCAATTGCCGAGCGATGTTTTTGAATTACATCGATTAATTTACTCTCTTGCTTGGGTGATAGGCTAGATGATATTATAATAAGATATTTATCCTCTTCGTATAAGTGTATATATATAAGTTCTGAAGGTAAGGGTTTAAGTTCTAGACTTGGTGGCGTGGGAATTAAAGTTTCACTTGGCTTGGTTTCTACTTCACAAATTTCTAGAGAATTATTAACTTCTTCATTTTAGATGTAAGATATGTTTTCAACATTATTATTAAGATGAATAAATTCTGAATATTCATTAAATATTTTAAGCTCATCCTTGTCGATAATTCCCAATTATTATCTTGTATGTTGTAAACTTCTTCCGATTGAGATGTATCTAGAGGTTGTTGTATCATCTTAAAAATGTTTACTTCTATCCGTAGATTTCTAAAAGTTAAGAGCATAGATCCATTTCTACAATTTATTAAGGCATTAGCCGTGGCTAAGAAAGGTCTACCAAATATAATTGGTGTAGAAACATCGATAGAGTGTTGAGTATCTAATATTACAAAAATCAACGGGATAGTAGAAATCTTCAACCTTAACCAAAACATCCTCCACGACTCCCCATGGGTATTTAACACTACGATCGGCTAATTGAAGTGACATCCTCGTCGGTTTTATTTCTTTTAACCCAAGTTTTTGGTATAAGTAATAATGGAGTAAGTTCACCTAGCTCCCAAATCTAAGAGTGTGGTACCTTGAAATCCATCACCTAGTGTGCAAGTTATTGTAGGTCTCCCCGGATCTTTGTATTTTACTATTCCATTTTGTTCGATAAAGGAAGGCAATTGATCGGTGAAAAATGCTTCTTTAGAAATATTAGTTCGCCTTTTAATGGTGTATAATTCTTTCAAGTATTTTGCGTGTTGAGGCATGTTTCTAAGTGCGGTGAGAAATGGTATATTAATGTGTAAATTTTTGAAAATTTCCTTTATCTCATTAAATTGTTTTTCGTTATCGGGACCTAAAAGTCTCTTCTTACTTCTTTTTCATTGATTTGAGAAGTAGAATTATTTTTAGGAATAGTAGATACAGTATCCGCATTAATTTTACTAGTTGGAATTTCAATGTCAACTATTGGGTTACTTGAGCTAGAAGCGACATTACTAGTGTTTGTATCATTGACTATGTCATCTTCGGTTGGCATTACTACTTTATTATTATATTCTTTTCCCGAACGTAAAGTAGTTATGGCCTTAGCCTCATCTCTTTGAATAGTAGGATTACTAGTTGAAACTTCAAAAACTTTTTGAATTGGTTTCGGATTTTGAATAGTTTGTCCCGAAATTTTTCTTTCTCTTGTTCGGCATCTATTTTTGCAACTTTATTTTCAAGTCTTTCAATGATTTTATTTTGATTTGTTTGTTGTTCAAGTATCTTCATTAAAAGAGCTTCATAATTATTTTTAGGTTGTTCGGCTTTTTCTAGATTTTGAACCGGAGGTTGATTTACTTCATTGTTATTTCTATAACCTTGAAAGTTATTGTTTTGCCTCATATATCGATTAGGGTTTCTATTCATGTTATTTCCTTGAAAGTTTTGTGGGTTTTGATTAAAAGGTCTAGCGTTGTTTTGATTTCCCCATCAAAAGTTTGGATGATTAGCCCACGTTAGATTGTATGAGTTACCTTGAGGTGGAGCATTAGTTCTATTATCCAAAATACCGTTAACTTGTTCTTGTTCGTAAGGAATGTGTTGGTAATTATCTTCATTATGATCGTTTCCATTATAAACTTGACATATTTCATTAACGTTCATGACGGAGTTGGGTTGGTTACTTTGTAAGGAGAGAGCTTCAACTTTTTTAGCTAGATTTTGAATTAAAGGTTTTACTTCTCCGTCTTCTTCCAACTTAGCCGCAGGTTTAACTTTATAGACTCTAGGGATAGGATTAGGTGAGTTTCCCCAATGTTGAGAATTTTCCTCAAGTCTTATAAAGAAATTGTTAGCTTGTGTTGCGGTTTTACGAAGGAATTGACCTCATTCATAGATTCTACTAAGGCACGAGTCATAGGGTTTAGACCATTGTAAAAGTATTGAACTAACGTTTCCATAGGAATTTGAAGATGTGGACATTATATTTGTAACTCCCCAAATCTTTCCCAAGCTTCGAAGAATTCTTCCGTAGGTTTTTGTCTAAAAGTTTTGATTTTGTTTCTTAGCTCTATTGTTCGGGACATGGGATAGAATTTAGTAAGGAACTTTGTGTTCAATTGATCCCAAGTGCGGATAGAGTTTCCGGCTAAAGAATGTAACCATTGAGATGCTTTGTCATTTAGAGAGAACGAGAATAACCTTAAACAAAAACCATCAACGTCTAGTCTAGTTTCATTTAGAGTTGAGCATATTTGGACGAATTGATGTAAATGAGTATAAGTGTCTTCTCGCTCATGACCAGATAACTTAGGCAACATGTTAATGATGCCATAGTGAAGTTTGAAATCAGTTCCATCTTCGAGTGCGGGCAAAACGATGCAATAAGGATGTCCGGTAGATAAAGGAGCAAAAAGATCACGAAGTGGCCTTTCAGGGTTAGCCATTTCAAAAGGAGGGATCGAATTGCTACTATCAGAATCTAATTGAAAAACACGATTTGCTAATCCTAGAAGATTATTATCAAGATTAAAATTTATCGGACTAACTTCTAACTTACTAATAACTAACATAGTATACCTAATACCAGAACGTAAAAACATAAACTAAGGTATTGATATCGGGTCTTTTGGTGCGTACTGATATTCCTTACACAATGGTGTCCAATATACTAGAGGGGGGGTGAATAGGTATTTAAAAATAACTTAACAAAGTTCACCCCCAACAACTAATACAAAGGCAAACTGACACTACTAGATATGCTTAGACAAACAAGATGCGGAAATAAAAGATATGCTAAGCAAGATACTAGCAAGCTAAACACCCA